TAAAGCGATCCCAGACAGCATATCGTGGCATGTAGCGGAAGCAAAAGAAAATCCTCTGAGGAGATAAACACCTTCGACGCAAGTCCTAGCATCAGCTTAAAAAAATAACCCGACTTACAGAGACAAATGGGAATGAGTGAAAGTCATCAGGGGAAAATTATTTAGGACTCCAAGAATCTCAGATACAATACGTATAAGTTAAAATTACAAAATAATTATGAAAGTAAAATTTTTTTAGAAATGTGAAAGAATGGCCAGGAAAATGGAGTAGATATATTTCTCCCTATTCCTTCCACTAATTTCACCTAAAACGCTGGCCACTAAAACAAACATGAGAAGACTGGGAAACGTGTAGAGAGCTTGTCAGACTGTCTCCAAGCCTCAGGGCCCAAGGAGCAATATGGTGGTAAGCTCCCTGGGTTTTCTTTTTGCTTCATATATCCCAGATTTGGAGCTAAAGAATGCAGCGACCCGGAGATGTCAATGGGTGCGGGGCAGGAGGGAGGGTTGGGGGAGAGCTTCAACAGAAGGCCGGTAAAGGGCAGGCTAGCCAGACAGAAAACTTTTTTATAACAACTGCTCTATTCCTGCCAAACACAGCAGGAAAAATAATGACCCTACTCCCACCCACACCATCAAATGCCAAATGGGGAACCTAGACTTCTACCTTTCCACTACTGTTAGGAGACACCTAAACACCCTTACTTGGGTGTCCGGGAAGGCTAAGCAGGAAGCAAGGACGTTTATCCCAGCTAGTCAATAACAGTTCCCCGACCTGTGGTCGTGGTGGAAACCATGTGGAGGTCTTAGACTTCAGTCACACCCAACAGTAACAAGATGCCACCTGACTTCCACTAGGATGGTCTCAGAAGAGGCCTAATGCAGAGTTAAGAATTTCACCACTGCCCAGTGGTCAGTGTAAACTGACCATTATGGTTTCAGTGGAGATTATGTGGCAAGTCAGAGCTCCCACTAACTCCCAGCAGTAATGAGAAGCCCCCTATTATGGTCTCGAAACAAGCTGAGTGGAGAACCTGCACCCCCACTTCCACCTGTCGTTAACAAGGCGCCATCTCTCCCTCCCCATCATGCTCAAACAGATCTGAAGTCTTATAATAGTTAAGTGTCCAGATTTCAATCAAAACTTACTCATCATACCAAGAACCAGGAAGATCTCAAACTTAAAATGAAAAATGAAAATAAAATGATAAAAAAAAAAAGAAAATGAAAAAACAACTGATAGATGCCAACACTAAGATGATGGAGATGTTAGAATAATTTGGAAACTATTTTAGAGCAGCCATCATAAAAATGCTTCCATAAGCAAATGCAAACATACTTTGAACAAATGGAAAAACAGAATGCCTGAGAAAAGAAAAGGAAAGTCTAGCAAAGAAACAGAAGATGTAAAGAGGAAGCAACTGAAAAAATAAAAGTGAAAAATGTAATAGCAAGTAGAAAATAAAAAGTTCAGTGAAGGACTCAACAGCCGAGTGAAGGGAACAAAGGAAAGAAACGGTGAACTGGGAGACAGAATAATCGAAATTATTCAGTCTGAACAACAGAGAGGAAACAGTCTGAATAAACAATGAATATAACCTCATGGACCTGTGGAACTATAGCAAACAAATTTTAAAAATCTACTGTTGATGTCACTAGAGGCTTGGAATAAGGACAAAGAGGGCAAAAGCTGAAAAAATACTCAAAAAATAATGGGTGAAAACTTCATAAATTTTGGAAGAGACATAAAACTACAGTTTGAACAGGACAAACTGAAAAAAGACCTACCCCAAGGCATATCATAATTAAAGTTCTAAAAACTAAAGACAGGAAAAAAAATTTGAAGACAGCCAGAGAAAAATCGCATCCTCCCGATAGGGGAGAAACAATTACAGTAACAGCAGATTTCTCATCAGAAATCACAGAGGCCAAAATAAAACAGTATGGCATTTTTCAAGGACTGACACAGAAAACTGTCAACACAGAATCTTATCCCCAGTGAAAATATCCTTCAGTAATGAAGTAGAAATGAAGACATTCTCAAGTAAAGGAACTGAAGGGAAACTAAGAGAATTTGTTCCAGCAGACCTACCCTAGAAGAAAAGCTAAAAGAAATTCTCTAAATAGGAAATTATAAAAGAAGGAACCTTCAAATATCAGGAAGGAAAGACACAGTAAACAAAAGCATGGGCAAAACAAGGTTTTCTTCTCTTAAGTTTTTAAATCATGGTTGACAGTTGAAGCAATAATTATAACATTGTGTGGTATGGTTTTAAGTATATTTACAGGAAATATTCAAGAGAGTTATATTATAAATGGGGGAGAGTAAAGCAATGCAAAAAGAGAAGTTAGATTTCTGTATCTCACTTGAACTAGTAAAATGGTGATACCAGCAGACTATGACATTTGTGTGTATAAAATGTAATACCTACAGCAATGACTAAAAAGCTATACAAAGAGATGCAGTCAGAAACACTGCAGATAAATCAAAATGGAATCTAAACTATGTTCAAATAACCCATAGGAAAGAGAAGAAAATAAGCAGAGAAATTGAAGAGAGAAAATGAAATAATAAAATGACAAATCCTAACATACTAATAATTATATTAAATATAAATAGTCTCAATACACCAATTAAAAGAAATCGGCAGAGGAGATTTAAAAATATGACTCAACTATGAGCTGCTTACATGAAACCTACTTCAAATGTAACAATATAGACAGATTGAAAGTAAAAAAGGGGGAACTATGTATTGCACAAATATTAACCAAGGAAATCAGAAGTTGCTTTGTTAGTATCAGATAAAGTAAACATCAGAGCAAAGAAAACTACCAGACACAGGGGTATGAGTTAATGATGAAAGAGTTCAATCTACCAAGAAGATGTAAAAATCTTAAATTTGTAGACACCCAACAGACAAACAAAAAAACTGAAAAATCTGTGAAGCAAAAACCGATCAAACTGAAGGGTGAAATAGATAATCCATAATTATAGTAGGAAACATCAACCCTCCCTCTCAACAATTAGCTGAACAACTGGACAGAAAACAGCAAGGATATTCCACAGTATCATTGCCCAGCACAATCTAATCAACATTTATGGAATACTCCACCCAACAACCAAATACACATTATTTTTAAGTGCCCACAGAATGTATGTTAATAATGACCATATCTATATCTGGGCCATAAAAAAATAAAAACAGCAACAAATGGTAAGTAACTGAAATCATACAAAGTAGATTCTCCAGCCACAGTGGATATAATGTACAAAACAACAACAAAGATTAAAAAAAAAATCTCCAAACACTTAGAAACTAAACAATACATTTGTAAATAATGCCTGGGTAAAAAAGGAAGTCTCTAGGAAATATTTTTAAAGCTACATTGAATGAAAATTAAAGTACAATATATAAAAATTTGTGGGACGTAGCTAAAGCCACGCTGAAACAAAGATTTATAGCACTAAGTGACAATATTAAGAACAACAAAAGTCTCAAGTCATTTAAGCTCCCACCTTAAGAGCCTAGAAAAACAATGAGAAAGCAAAAGTAATACAGGTAAATGCAGAAATTACTGGAATTGAAAACAGAAAAGCAATTGAGTAAGTGTATCAAAGAGCTCGAAAAGATCAATAAAATTGACAAACCTATAGCTAAAGTAACAAATAAAAAAGAAGATATGACTTAGGTTCGTGCAAAAGCTTGTCCATGATGGCCAAAACCTGTAGTCAGTCCAGATGCTTTTCCACAGGTGAACGATTAAATGGTCAAGAGTATTATTCAACAATAAGAAGGAATGGACTGATTCACACACAGTCTGGATGAATTCCCAGAGAATGACAGAGTGAATATGTCAATACCAAAGGTTCCATAACATATGATTCCATCTGCATAAAATTCTTGAAAATGACAAAATTACAGAAACGAAGAACACAAGTGTTTTCCAGGGACCAGGGAGGATGTGGGGTAGGAAGGAAATGGGTATGTCTATAAAAGCGCAACGTGTGTGACCTCTGTGGTGGTGGAAGTGCTGGGTATCCTGACAGTGTCAGTGTTAATATCCTGTTGTGATATTGTACCATGGAGTTTTGCAAGACGCTGTCTTTGGGGGAAACTGGAGATCTCTCTGTATTATTTCTTCTATTGCATATGAATTTGCAGTTGTTAAAATATAAATTCAATTTAAATACATAGAGTAGACTATAAAAATGATCAAGAATGGTTAGAAATCCTAGAAATTTTATAAACTATCTGGGTAAAGACAATCTAACATATGCATTACGTTTGCTCCTTGATTCACCAAAACTCCTCCCCTAAAGAATAAGACACGCTGATTTCTGCTCGGGCTTTACCTGGAGAGACAAGGAGAGCAGAGAGGCCACGTTGGTTCTCTGCACAAACACAAAGAACTCATCCCCTCCTCCTAGTTCCCGCGTAAACACCTGCTGCAAACTTGAGAGCAAGAGCCCTCGCAGCACTAACCTCTTACACCCAGTTCTTGATAATTATGTCGGTTGGAATCTGTCCAAATAGCTTGTTGGGGTTGCTGGTTCTTAAACCTTTCACAGACTTACGGCCCGAAGAACACTTCTGAGACCTCCGCAGCGCCCTCTGCAGGGCTGGGAGGAGGCTGCCGAGGCGCAGGCCGCCATGCCATCCCCAGCAGTTAGCTGACTTGGAAGACAGGCCCCAAGAGCAGCAGCAGAGGCGGATTTTCGGCTCGGCCTCTCCTCCACACCGTCTTCATCTTCACTTGTGTGTTTAAAAATGACCAAAGGACCACCTAGTAAGCAGCAGAGACAAAAGGTCCCAGGGGAGAAAATACAGCTCTCATCCCCTGGACCACCCTTTCTCTACTAGATCATTCCCTTCACGTACATCAGTCACGCTCACTGGCACATGCCCAGCGTCCTCACCGCTCCATCCTGCGCCTTATCAAATCATATCTCTAGAATTTTCTAAATCAGAAGCTAACCAAACCTCCTATTATTACTGCAGGCCCAGAGATGTTATGAATGCCATCCGCCAGCCGTTGGAGGCACATTCCACTCTTTTCTCTGGTGCAGCGGACAAGAATTCAACTCACATACAGTAAGGTAAAGTAGAAACCCTGGGAGAGCACAAAACTTGTAAGTACTGTTACATAGTGACATTACAATGTAAAAAAGTAGGGATTTAATTACTTTAGCACCTTCGATTCAATATTTTTTCTTGACAAGTACTTAACACGAACTTCAGTATCTTTTGTAGAGGGGCATGAGGTAAAATCCTGTGATTTAGAATGTTTTGCTTTTGGAAAATATGTAACTTTATAGAGCATCCTTTTTCTTCATGAGAAAAAGAAACCTCATGGAAGAGGGGAGCATCTACTTTTTAAGCAAGATATTAATAAGCCAAGTAGGGGAAAGTGAGTTTTATTGTGTAAGTAATAACTTGCAGTTTAGACTCATAACCCTTAGAAAGTGCTCTCATTAGAAGTCAGAAGTTTCTCTTGAAGCATATTCTCCTGTGAAAAGTTTAATATTTATTCAAGGAGTCACTAAAGAGCATTAACAAGTCCAGGACCATATATTAGCTGTGTGATCACTTATTAGCTCCGTGACCTTGAGCAAACCATGCCTCCTCTGGCTGCTGGAATCTCCAGCTGAGTGGTACCTGCCTGACCTACTTCTTACGGATTACGATCAGGCAAGTCTCCACTGCACACTGCCAACACAGAATTTCGTATTTCACTCCATTCTACACTATGAGTTAATTGATTTATGACCCAATTCTAACTACTATGAGAAAAGAAAATATGTATTCCTTAAGCTCAGTTTTTGATAAATTATCTCTACTTGAAATAAAATCATGGTAATTAAGGTTTCAATTAGAAATCGTTTCTTTAATTCTAAACAGATTGCAAGGAAATATGGTATGTGGGAAGTATTTGCAGAGATAAATGACTAACAGGGGAGAAAGTCACTTAGTGCTAAATTCCTGGGAACTTAGATTTGAAAAAGAACCTAAAGAACATTTGGTCCAAAGGATTTTGTCTTCAGCAGCTAGAATAGATGGTTTTCTGATGGGTTAAGGACTCCTTCTTCATTTAGACAGTTCAAGACCATGCTGGGCAGTTATTTCATTCCTGGGTAGCTTACTTAGAAATATTTTTCTCAGGATGACCCAGTTCCCCTTCTTCTAAATGCCAAACTTTGATCCTAATTCTGGCTTGTGTTATAAGATAGAAATGTCCTCCCCCTTTCCTGCCTGACAGCCCTCCCAATATTTGCAGACAGTCTGTCTTCCCCAATTTTCTTTGTTGCAGTTTAAATCTCTGTATGAAAGCCCTGGTATTTACAGACTGTTCATCATAAAATCAACCTAATATGCTACTT